CGGGGAATATATGAAAACAAATTTCCTTGTTTACCTCATGCTGGAGTGATTTTAACAAGTCCATATACCATCCAACGATACTCGAAAAACGCTGGCAGATTGATCAGTTATTTGAAATTCCCCAAACTTTTGGGTAGTTCTATTTGTCAGGATTCCATTCTGAAATATCGGGGTAGAATCAGGGTACCAAACCTGGAGCAATGAATGATTCGTTCTTCTTAATAACCACTACTAGGTTATTTTAGACCTTTCTCTTACCATAACTTATCGTGCGCACGATATCTTGTTAAATCTCGAATATTATTGCATTTCTATCATTTCTTTATTTAAATATAAATGTATATTTTTAACCATCATTAAATACAACTTGGGATATCACAGGTAAGATGTATTAACGCATTACCTGCCACGAGCCCCGTTTGAGGATCTGTTAAAATTAAACTCACCACATGTTATTCCTTGTATTTACATTGAATTGCTTACATACATTGCATTTGCAGAGGTATATTCTACAACACTTAGCCTTTAAAGTTTTTATTACAGTATAACCCGGATACAAGAGACCCGGATATAAGAGAAACCCTGATATAAGAAAGATTTTCTCTGGTCCCAAATTAGAGCCTGTGTTAATGTATATAAAATAGACCAAACCCGGATATAAAAGAAACCCGGATATAAGAGACTTCGTCTCCGGTCCCGACAACTCTCTTATATCCGGGTTACACTGTATTAGCCGTAAAAAGACACTTTCTGTCGTAATTTTACATTTCACGAGTAGAAAATTAATGACTATTTTGAAAAGTATTTTTTTATTATTTCTAATCAATATTATTTTTTGATGTTTTATATACACATATATATTTGATGTTCTAGTTTGTAAAACGACAACGGTAACTACTGAAATTAAACATAAGGAATAAATAAATTCCTAAGACACATGTTTGGGCAAAAAAAAAAAAAGTTTGGCAGTTAATGGGCTAAATAAATATGTCAACCCTTTCTTCCAATGCATAGAATATCTAGTGTAAATCATGCTGAATTACTTGATGTATATAGACTTAATGATTTGCTATCATATTACATTGAAACACTGGTTCTCGTAGATGGGTGACCGCTTGGGGATATCAGGTGCTATAAGCTTGGATGTGTGGGTGGTGTTATGGATAATGGCTTGGAATTGGAAATTGATGAGTTTCAAATACAGTCGGGGTACTTATACTCACATACGCATAAATATCCTTGTGAAAAGCACCTCTTCTTCCACAGCTATAGGTTAAATAGTAGTACTTGTATCTGTAAATCATTATTATTTCCAAATAATTCTGACAATATAAAATAGTTTTCTGGCGTTAAATAACCTGTAAAATGTTGATAAGCAGGAAATAAAACGAACCAAATCAATATATACTTAATTTTGAGTTTCATATTTTTATAACGACTACATTTCATATAGAATTACATTTATAGAACACGATGTTCAAAATGATCTCTATTTACTATGGAGGGTTACGGCCACATCGCATTGAAACATGGATTCCCGTAAGATGACCGAAGTTAAGATGGATGACCGCCTTAGTATACCAGATACTGTAGGCTTGTGTTGTGGAGTGGTTTCACAGTGGAGGCTTGTATTTGTACTAAGTCGGTCCTAAAATAGGTTCGACGTACAAAACGTTAGGAACTTGATATAATAGATAATGACGCAGAGAAATCTAGTTGTGGTGGCTGATACTTTTAGTATCCGACAAACGGTCATCCGGCATCGACTGACTGACCGAACCACTGAGCGACACCCTTGTTACTCTTACTACTCCTACTTATGGGAGAGTCTATTAACTATAGAATAGGGGTGTTTCACTATAACAGCTTGGATGTGCGCGTGATGCAATGGATAATAGCTCGGAATTTTTAATCGTAGAGCCGAGTTCCAATTCAAGTTGGGTTCATTATATTCACTTCCGCGCAAATAACCTTGAGAAATCCAATTCCCTTTTCTCCCCAGTTATGGGTTAATTAGTAAGTAAACCGTTATTGCCTCCAAAAATGAAATAAAACTGCGTACAAAATATTTACATTCCAGCATTAAATAACCCATAGAGATGTTGATATGCCGCTAAACAAAAACAACCAACCACTATGGAACTGATAACGCGGACCATTGTTTTGCATTAGTCCCTGGAAGCTTTTATACATCAGCTTAAATTTTCTGACTTTGATTTTTTTTAGATGCTTGTGTACCCTTCATAAAATTTATCAGTTTAGTATTTTACAATATTCTTTTTATTATTTCTGACGAAAAGAATGTGTAATCGAAAGAACGGCATGATCTTGCAACTATAAATAAAACCTGAATGCCATTGCTTCAGGCAACAAATCTTGAGTCATTTTTATGTGTATGTGTGAGCGTGCGTTTCATGCAAGTCCACCAGACATACAGCCACAGAGGAACAAAAGAAGACAGCGCTTGCCAATAAAATTTTAAAGAGAAATTAACAGTGCGAAAGATTCAGAAGCACTTGACTCGCACACACGCACACGAATCCTCTGCACACATGCTCGCTCGCACACACAAATAGACCTGCGACTGTGTGTCTGTTAATGACGAGCCACAACGCAAGCATATTTCATATTACTGCATCCTTTCCTCGTCTTTTTAGTCGGTTTTGTCTTCTTTCGATCCCGCCTTTTATTTAAATATCTTTTTGTCATCTGAACTTCACTTGATTATCATCGGAGTAGAGCGCGGATCGGATGAAAGAAAAATGCATCAAGACGAGACCCGAAATTATCAAGAGAGATTTATATCCGGGTTTCGACACGGGTTTATTCTTCCGTCCTGATTTGCGTCGTTTGCTAATGACGGTTAACTGACTGACTTGTTGCGATAAAAAGCAACAGAACTTAGGATGATTATTTGTTTTGTTTTGTTTTGTTTTGTTTTATGGCATATCAACCTCAATAGGTTATTTAATGCCGATAAGATTTTTATTGCTGGTAATTTTTTTTTTTCACATGTATTGCTGGTAAACTTTTTTTTTCCCTTCAAAAATCTATTTCTGGTAATATTTTTTCTTCAAAAATGTATCGCTTGTAATATTTATTTATTTTTTTTCAAAAATGTATAGCTAGTAATATCTTTTTGAAAAATGTATTACTGATAATAATTTTTTCTTCAAAAACTTATTGCTGGTAATAACTTTTTTTTACAAAGTATTTCTGTTATTAAAACCTATTTTTACACTTTCATAGTATTTTGACCCCAGTTTTTTTTTTTTTTGGGGGGGGTAACTATTTTCCCATAGTTGGGACCAAAACAGGTGCTACCACCCCGGGTCAGGACCTGGGAACACCGGCAATTAAGAGGTGGTTCCACACTCCTCAAAACCTCCTGATCAGAGGCTTTGCTGCTGTATATAGTTTATCCTCTTACCCAGGACGCACTTTGGATGAAAGAAATACTAATAAAAATTAACAACATCTGACAAGGCTTTATCTAATAAAAAATCGAAATAACATCCCTAAAGCTAAAGCTACTCGTGGAAATTAAGATAAAAGTAATTATTCTTCTTTATGTGACGTGTCCAGAGGACGTAGTCGATCATGGCTCTCCACAACTGTCCCTCTTAATAAATTTTGTCTTTCTGTTATTTCGCCTAATCTCTATTCCGCCATCCATTTACTCAAGCTCACTAAGTTGTTTATGCGTTGTTTTCCTTTGTCTCTCTTGCCTTTAATCTGTCCTGTGAGTATCAGATTTTCCAAGCTCTCTTTCCTTATTGTGTACCCTAGAAAACTCAACTGTCTCTTCCTGATGTTAATTATAGGTTTCCTTTTTGTTTCCATTGACTCTAAATCTTCGTTGTTACTCACATATTCGGTACATGATATTCTCAGCATCCTTCTGTAGTCCCACATTTTTGTAGCTCCCAGCCTCTTTTTATTTGAGAGGATTCCCCAGCACTCACTGTAGGACAGATATCACGTAGCAGTTTAATACACTTTTCCTTGTTTCTAGTGAAGTTTTTCAAAATTAGAGGTGGTGTCACAATAAATCACAGTGGAGAAGGCAACAGAAACCACTCTGCTATCAATCCCAAGAATTATAGCACTTAACAAGCAAAATAGAAGCAATATTAATCACAAATTAACAGTGATTCGTCGATTTGACAGTGATTCATTGAATTAAAATTCCAGATGATATTACTTATAATAATACTACTACTAGCATAAATAAAGCAAGTAAAATTAAACAAAATCCTGGACACCAAAAATAAACGTTGGCAATACAGTATTTATAAAAATTCGCAATAATATTACTACTACTTATACTACTTCTAGTGGAAATAAGCTAATTAAGTTAAAGTGAAAGAAATATTAGCAAAAATTAATAATCGTTGACAGTGCTCCATCTACAAAAATCGAAATTATATTGCTGTCAATGATAAAAGGAAAAATATAAACAATCATACCAATCACAGAGCCAGTGAGCCATCGAAAAAAAAAATTGGTTTAACGCTTAGATTTGATTTTCTGCAAGCATTGGCTCTAACAGATTAAACTGAATCTCATCTACCATATATTAATGGTCTCAGCGATATATAAGGGATACAGGTTCGAGTCTTTCATGAGGCTTATTCTTCATATATTATTTACCCTCTAGTCTGAAGATATGGATAAGGAATGAAGACATGCAATGGAAAATTCGAGAGAAGAAATATTAGAGAAAAATTTCTCTCCATTGAAGAGACTTCATGGTATGAGAATAAAATTCAGGATGATTTATATATATATATATATATATATATATATATATATATATATATATATAAGGTTGGTGCAAAATGATGACGTAATAATGTCGTTTTTTGACGTATTTTTAACGTCAAAAACGACATTATTACGTCATTATTTTGCACCAAGTTTATATATATATATATATATTCACAGATTTCCATCCTTTTAAGTCAGATTCAGCGCATGCGTCACACGACGCAGTAAATATGGGGGAGGGAATACTCACTCAATTTTCCAACTGGACAGAGTGTGCCAAACTAGAAATGACACGGGTAGGAAATAACTACATGATTTCGATTAAAACCTTCTTCTCTCTCTATCTCTCCCTTTATCTCCCTCTATCTCTCTCCATCTATCTCTCTATCTCTATCTCTCTCTACATATCTCTATCTCACAGGTAGGAAATAACTACATGATGTAGATTAAAACCTCCCTCTCTATCTCTATCTTTTTATCTCTCTCTCTCTCTCTCTCCCTGTATATCTATATCTCTCTCTATCTCTCTCTATCGCTATCTCTCTCTATATATTTCTATCTCTATCTCTCTCTATCTCTCTCTATCTCAATCTCTCACTCTATCTCTCTCTATCTCACTCTCTCTATCTCTATCTCTCTCTGTCTCTCTTTCTCTCTCTATCGCTATCTCTCTCTATCTTTCTATCTCTATCTCTCTCTATCTCTCTCTATCTCACTCACTCTCTCTATCTCTCTCTGTCTCCCTCTCTCTATCTCTCTCTATTTCTATCTCTCTCTGTATATCTATATATATATATATCTCTCTCTATCTCTCTCTATCTCACTCTCTCTCTCTATCTCACTCTCTCTCTCTATCTCTGTCTCCCTCTCTCTCTATCGCTATCTCTCTCTCTATCTTTCTATCTCTCTCTCTATCTTTCTATCTCTCTCTATCTCACTCTCTCTCTCTATCTCTCTCTATCTCACTCTCTCTCTCTCTCTGTCCCTCTCTCTATCTCTCTCTATGTATCTCTCTCTATTTCTATCTCTCTCTGTATATCTCTCTCTCTCTATCTCTCTCTCTATCGCTGTCTCTCTATCGCTGTCTCTCTCTGTCTCTCTCTCTATCGCTGTCTCTCTCTATCTCTCTCTGTCTCTCTCTCTCTATCTCACTAATCATCTCTCTATCTCTCTCTATCTCTACTCTCTCTCTCTATCTCTATCTCTCTATCTCTCACGAGCCCGCCTATTTTTCTTTCAGTGTTTTTCAAATTATTTTTCTTTCTATTTTTTTCGCGTTCAGTTTCACACTTATCCAGCATTTTTCTCACAGAAAAATTTATTTTAGCGTCGCCTTCTTTTTAATAATTTAAATTAACTCTGTACCCCAAAAGAACAGAAACGATGTTTCCTGCCAATGTTTCAAGAAATGACAGGATTATTTGAACACTGAACTTTGGCACTTTTGAGAATTACAAAATTATTTCAGTCGAGTAGTCGATCATACCTACTTTTTATATCTTTAATATTTACTAACATTCGCTTACATGTTGGAAAATAGATAGGAATATTGTATTGCTCCAATTTTCGACAACGGTAAAATTTCTTCAGATCTTTTTTCACTCGAGAATTCCATCCATCCAGTGACTTTGGCTCTTCTCTTCTACTAAACCGATAATAGTCGAAATATTCCCTTTCGCATTATCAACATTTCTACATCCTTCCTTCACTCTCCGTCATTTACTCAAGTAATCAATTGACTCCTAAGCTGTTTTAACACATTTTGGCTTCTGAAACGTTAAAAATGTTTTCAGAAATTCTGTAACAGAGCAGTGTCATTATTTGCAATAATATCCCCATCTTTGTTGTTTTCAACCCATTTTAGCCAACTAGTTCACCATTCTTCAAAAGGTTATCTCACGTCCTGAAATGAAGCCGTATCATTATTCCTTGTAAAATGTTTGCAATAGTAATTCTTTTTAGTTTCTGTTAAATATTGGTTGAAGTATTCTCAAGCATTTAAAATGTTATCCGAAGTTCTAAGACGAAGCATTGACATTATTCTATAAATTATTTGGACTATTCTCCCCATCTTTCTTTTTTTTTTTTTTAACTCTTTTTTGGCCAATGTGTTCTGCTTTCAAAATGTTATCTAAATCATCAGATGAAATATTGGCATTATTTTTATGAACTATTCGTAACAATATCTTCATATTTGTTTTCTGTCTGTACATTCTTCGGCCTTCGTCACGTGTTGGTGATATTTTCATGCCATTACGCGAATGGGCAACGCTCTCATTTATGATATTCCTAGTAAGAAAATTAAAGTACTTATACAGGACACAGTGACTCGCAGATTCACGATATCCCTGAGACATATGCCCCAGAAAATATTGACTGAATCATTGGGATGAAAACTATAAAGATGGGGATACTCTAACTTTACGCACATTTCTCAACTTTCTTCTATCCTACAAAAGAAAAAAAAGCAAAAAACAAAAAGAAACAACAAACAAAATGCTTCACTTCCAATATTTCATTCTTTTGATATTTTCCTTTACTCCTAATTTTACTTCTACTTCTCTGCTGGTGACACTTGCCGGGTATACTTGTGCGTAAGGCGAATTAAATTCTGAGGTGTAAATTTAAACACAGGTAAGAAGATAGGATACAATCTGTGGACTATACGAAGATACTAGAGTAATGTTTTGACCTTAGACAGGAAAAATGTTGCTAAACAAAAAGAAAAAA